GCCAGCAGAACCCGATACGGTGTGATATATAGAAGCAAGGTACAACTGGAATAATGAAATTTCAAAAATAAGCCCTTTTTAGAGGCTGGTTGTAACAGTCCTGCTGGGTATTGTAAATGCCTCAGGTGCACTTGATACTGCTGTTACGTTCCTGGCGTTGGCTTCTCATTTTTATGGAAAGATGGATTGAACTTCAATTTAAGAATATTCGGTAATCCCTCTCAGGACGTACTGTAACAGCTGGTATTTCTGTGTTGCGGCAAATCGATTCCATACAGCACTCAGCAATGCCTATGGCTGGGCTTCAGCAAAAACTTCCAAAGCATTTTAAATAAAGCGAGCCAAAGAAAATAGCATCATCACTGCAAAAATGTAGCTTAATTTGCAAGTTAGAAAAAAAAAAAAAAAAAATCCCTGTTCCATTCCAGAAAAATATTAAGCATTTTACTGGTAAGGATTTCATCAGGTCATTTATTTTTCATTAATATATATTTGGGATCTGGGGGGAATAACTTCATGCCATATATAAGTTTCTTAAATAATAATGAGCTTGAATTTTTTTAATATTGAATGATTTACCGTGAAATAAAGAGAAACAAACAAACTGAGTTTAAATGCATGACATATATGTAGATCAACAAGACTTTCCACATTTCTCAGTGAACTTTTTTTTAAGGAACCTGAATTTGATTGATAATAATGCACCTATAATAAGAATGCCTTGCATGTTTGTTTTCTTGTTTGTTTTTTTTTTTAAATAGATGAAAATACTTTAAGCTGCATATAAATCAAAGGTGTCCCATTAATAGTAAATAACTTTGTTTTAACCAGTTTCTTACACGTGTGACAACTAAAAATGCCTCCATCGTTCGTACAGCTGTAGTGGTGTGCTCACACTGGGGACTGGAAGTGAGCTTAGAACATGACTTCTCCTTTATGGCGCTTGTATGTGTTAAAAAGAAAACAAGCAGAATTAATGCAAAGTGAATATGTTCCTTCTTAATTGGTACAGTGTGTCCTTGGCTATGATGCCTTTTTTTTTTTTTCTTTTAAACTGCACCCTGGCTAGCTTTGCATATAGATGTTTTACAACTTTGTCATCGTAAGATGAGCTTTCACTCTGAAATACTTTACTTCCTTATCTCTGTTTTAAATTTTAAGTTAATGGACTTTGTGCTGATTTGATGAATGTCAAAATGTTTGTTTGGAAGCTGATGCTTGTTTTTAGTGAAAACGTACTTTTTTTCTTCACCACAAACTTTTATAACTAAAAAAAACACGAGACCCTAAAACAATCTTAATAGATAGGTTTTTAAGTTTTATTCAGTCCTTTTCATCATAGAAGAAGTTATCCAGGGCTGTAACTTCTGCTGTATTTGCCTTCTTAAAACAAAAAACAGATTCACTGGAGTTTGAAAGCTGACATGCAAAATCTTTCTTTGGGTAAACACTTAGGGGAGAGAAGGGGGGGGGAAAAAAAAAACCCACTTTAAAAAGTTGCCAGACTATTTAAACTATAGGCTTATGCCTAGGGATGAGTTAAGAACTAGCTTATATCTAGTAATTGATTTAAAATTTACCAAACAAAATCTTGTGGATGGCCCTTAATATGTTGCAATACTTTTAGCAACGCGGGGACTTTTTTTGGTGGAAAACCAGAATTTTGAACAGCATACAGTGTTTACAGCACCTGTATATTACTCTTCCACTAGACTGTTGCCAAGTACAAATGTGTCCAAAATACGCACTTTCAGAGCCAAGATGACTTCAAAAGTCATTCTGATTAATATGAATGTTTTTAAAAAAAAAAAAAACAACTAAAAAAACCAAAAAACAAACCAGCAACAGCAGCAGCAAAATGCTCTTCTATTTGTTTATTTTCTTATGCTAAAGCAGAACTATGCTGCTTTCTTTCTTCAAGGATCCTTTTTGTCTACTGAAATCTGGAGAGACCTCTTGTTTTCTGTTGGCTTCTACTTCCCCCTCTCCTTTCCTTCTCACACATCAGCCCCTGCCCTGCTGTTAGTAAACATTTTCAGTCTTAACTCTGAATTTCTTCTCACAAGTTTGCATTCCAGTTGCGTATTTTAACATACCTGAATTTAAGTACGTCCACTTATTTTTTAAATTGGTTTTTACTTTTGTTATATTCTGAATTTTTCTCAAGAACTGGTTAAAAGAAAGACAGTATCAGTAGGCCTGTGCAATTATTAAAAAATATGTCTTTAAAAAAGCCCCTGACTTTGTAGTAATGAATTACAGAAAAATTCCTTACACAGTCTGCATGATAATGGCTCTATCAACTCCACTAATCAAACTGCTATTTACCTTAGAGAAGTGTTTGCACCAGTCCTGCTTTTTACAATTTCAGTTAAAATTTAGATTATATTTCCAGATTACAAATAAAAATTGCATGTCAGATCTTAAATGAACTGAAAACAATTGAAAGGAGGTTAAGTAGAGATACTGAATAAATTACTATGCTAGTAAGCAATTTTTTTTTTTCTGGGATAAGTAGTAGCAAAATTTGAGTGACTTAAATTATTTGGTGTTTTAATAAAATAACCCTAGACTTTATTTCCAAAATACCTGACATGCTAGACTTAAAAAGCATAATTTACATGAGAAATGTGTTAAATTATTTTTACGGCAGAATGGGATTATAGGCTAGACTGAAGAAAACAACTTGTTTCACCTGGGGAAAAAAAATCTTAACAGTCATAAATAAATGCAAAGCATTTTGTTTTGAGAGTCTTAAATCAAAAGCTTATTTTGTGATAATGATTGGATTTGGTTAGCTGCGGTAATTTACAGTTTAACAATGTTCTTCATTATAAAATTCTGTTTCTGTTCTTTCTAGGAGAAACTGGGAGATAGCATAAATCTTCGTAGACAACTTGGCTGCAAGCAGTTAAACCGAAATTAACTTCTGCCTTCTGGCTGCAGAGTGCTAGTCTGACGTTCCTGCGTGATACTCTGCAGACCGAATCATGCCAGCGTTATCAACTGGATCTGGAAGTGACACAGGTACGCAAGCCAAGGAGGACTGCATGTTTCCTCCAGATCTTATTTGTTAAGTCTACGATCTCTATTTCAAGAAATCATCAAATAAGATAATTAATTATGGTCTCAACAGATGCTTAATTTAAGACTTTAAACATAACCTTTTCTCCCTGATGTTAATTTAGATATATGAAATACCACAGGTAAAATAATTTTTAAAAGTCCCACCACCATCTTCCTCCTCTCCATCCCCAACCCCCAAAAAAGAACACCTCCAACCAGATATGATATATGGATCTGAAGAATTTGGATTCACCTCTGAGCGTGGTTCCTACAATGTTAACTTGAAAAAGGAGGAGGAAAAAAAAAGATGATATCATACATGCCTTAATATTTGCAGCAGTCTAGACTATCCCCTCTGTGAGTTACAGTTATCAGTGGAGTTATTTCTGAACACAGACTATTTAGTTTTGACACTTCTTTAACAAATTAGGAGAAGAAAAATACTGTCTCAAGTTCTCTTCCTTCACTTGCCTTCCACGTCAGAGTCCAGTTCCTATCAGTGACTGCAGGCAGTGGGAGTGCAGATACGTACCTTTCCACAGTTTTCACTTTCTTCGTCACTATATTCAAAGGTGAAATCTCATCTTGCTGTTATGCGTGCGTTCTCTCTGTCTGGCAACATTTTTGTCCGTGTTTTAGGGACAACTAAAGTTAGTATTTTTGCTCGAGGGTGTTTGGTAAATAGGTGATCCGGCTGAGGTGACAGTACAAAGATCCCTGCTTTCCACCCCTGTGCTTGTTATTCTAGATCATATAGTTTTATGTGCAAGAAGTAACAGCAGGATTTTGAAAACGAAGAGGGAGATTCCAAGTCAGGAATCCAAAAAATATGTACATAAGGAACTGCATTTGATTCTTATTTTAAATAGACTGTACAGTGCAGTGATTTTTTTTTCCACACCTCAGGTCCAATGTAAAATTTCCTCTTAGATGAAAAGATTAATCTTTCGAGTTGTGTGTGTGTGTTTATTTTTTACCATGGGAGGGAGAGTTGTGTTTGTTTTTATTTGCTTTTTTGTATCACTATTCCTGTGTTTAAGGGATTTGACTACCATCTCACCAAACCCTACCTCTACATACCTTTCTTTTCTCCCCTTTCCCCCATGGAAATATGTGCAGTTGAAGCTGTTTACTATGCTAAAGCTGAATTTTGGAAGACTTGTCAGGGTCTACTCTGGGCTGATCTTCCACTCTGGATCTTTGCTTTCTTTATCACACAACCTCTTATGTCCTTCCAAAACCCGCCTTAATTTTTTTTTTTTTTTTTTTAATTTTTACTTGGCCAAATGCTTTTTAACATTTCAGAAGTCTCAAAAACTTGTTGAGATGAACAGCAGGGGAATGTGTGATGGCTGGTGCCTGATGCTGTTTTATTGTTTAAAGAATGTTAATGTGTCCAAAAGTAATAGTCATGGACATACTCTCTGAATAAAGAAAGAAAAGGGCTCCAAAAAGTGGAAAAAAAAATAATCCTGATTTTAAAATTGTGTGTGTTAAAATGTCTCTAAAAACGTGTTTTCCTGTGCTATTTAATGCATATGATGCTCCAAATACACCTTTAATAGTCATGGTGCGTGATAAAGCTCAACTAATCTCCATTCTCCCAGGAAATCTATAGTAAAATATGATATGCACCATTAATATCTTGCTGTTAAATAATATTGCTTGTTAAATCCAATTTGTTTTCTGTTGCAAGTTGTAAATTGTTTCTGTAAATAAAAACTTGCATTTGGAGGGAAAAGAGAATTACTTATTTTCTTCCACTTTCTTTATGGTATTTCCTGATGAAGATGATAGTATTTAAATACTTTTTGAATGATTACATCAAACTGCTTTCTGTCCTGGTTTTAATACAGGTGGTTTCTAATCAGAGCCATATTTTTCTGCTATTACTCTCACTCTTAGATTAAAAAAGGAGAAACACAAAAAAAATGGGATTTTCTTACCTCTTGTTCCTTGGTGGGTAGACCAGTTTCCCTCTCGCCCTGCCTGCATAAAGTGGTGTTGCGACATGTAACGAGTTGAAACTGCTCTAGTCCATGAGAGGACTATCTGGGATGCTGTGGAGTTAGCAAGTTAGGTCCCCACTAAGTGACAAAACTGCACCTTTAGGGTAGGGATGCAACTTCATTTAGTCTGCTAAGACTCTGTTTTACTAATGCATTCAAACAAAACCCCAACCTACCTTATTTTTGTATCTGTTATATCCTGGTGAAGTAAAAGTAAACCTGGATTTAAAAATGAGTGGAAAAAATTCATTGAAGACTAGTAAATAGAAATGCATCATCTGTGAATATTGGAAAGTTGCCAAGTCATGGACTATTGGAAACTCAGCCACTAGTATGGAAGCATTGATTTGTTTGGTTTTTTTGTTTTTTTACATAGTCTTAGGCATCAGACCACTGTCAAAAGCAGGATAGTGTTCATGATGGGCCACATTTGATCAGACTAAATATTGACCTACTCATGTTAATTTTACATTGCTTTTAACTTGTCAACAGACTTTATTAGGGATGTCACCATGTCCTTGCAGCTGCTTCCTTCATATACTTACACGTGCTTTTGTTATATCACGTTTTAACCTGTATATTCTTCTGAACACAGACCATGCCTCTTAAATCTGTTTTGAGAGGCATTTACTAGACGCTATGATAAATTAAAAGCATGACTGCAGTGTTTGCAATCTTTTGTTTAAAACATTGTATTAATTAACTGTTTTAATTAATTTAGATTCATCAAGTGACTTTGAAATTAATCTTGTACCTTACTGGTCTAATCTGGTTTCTTAACTTTAAGACAGCGGAAAAAGGCTTATGTGTGCACATGCTTTTTTCTCTTCTACTCTCCATTAGACACATAGAAACCCTATTTTTATATAAAAATACTAATTTTAAAAATTACTTTTTTTTGTAACATGTGCATGATCCTGCTCCTCCCTTAAGGTTTATAGTCCTGTCACTGTCAGATCAAAGTTACCTAAAAGCAACCATCTTGAACAGAAGGCTGAGCTTCTGCCTGAGGCTGCATCTGAAGCTTTAATTTTGGGTTGCGAAAGTCTGCTTGAAGTCTGTGTGCAAGCCCATCAAAAAGAGTTTGAAGACTGAGCAAGACGACTTGCACTTTTGCAGGTAAAGCAAGTCTGCGAGATCTGGCATTCGCTTATCTGAGTTTGCAGTCCTGGCTTCACAGTAGTTGATGGCAGCTTCGTTGCTGACTTTGGTGGAGCCAAGATGACATCATTAAGTGTTGTTTTAGTGTGAAAAACATCGTAAAATTGTTACAGATTTCTTTCCTCTCAACCCTGTATCAAGCTTGCTCAGCTGACAGGTTTAAAAATGCTTTTCTGTCTGTCCTTAAAAACTAGCGCACGAATGTGCAAAGCAGACTTTGTGTTTTTGATTCATGTATTGTCAGTGGGAAAATCACATTTATGGGCCAAGTTTGGCCACCAAGTAAAACTGTGAGATTGCGTAAATATATAATGAAAGTCAGAAGCAGTTCTTGAATTTGAATATTGTAAATTATAGAAAGAAAAAATGTGCAAAGCTTATATTAGTTTCATCTTGAGTAGATATAGGAGCTAATGCTGTGCCAGATAGTGGAGTTTTTTCAGTGTTACAAGCCTGTAAAACTGAATACGTGTTAGTTTTTTAAATTAAAAAAAAAAAAAAAAAACAAACACATTTGTTGCTAAGAAAAATTGTAAGTTCACGTGGCCTTTAAAATATTCCTGGTTTTGGTGTTTTCTTCTCTGTTTTGTAATAATACAAAATAAAGATATGAAATTTGTTCGAAATGTTGGGTATTTTTCCAAACTGCATTTTTAGTAGCGTATTCTGTGATTCTTAAAGAATTAGCTCGACCTCTGAAGCTGCATGCTGTTGATGTCGATGTACTGAATACTGGTAGAAATACTTTGTTAGAATATTATGTTGATATGATAGCTCCATAGTCCATATGGATTACCTCCCAGTGAGTGAACTTCGCAAGCAATGCGAAGTTCAAAGACGATTTTGCAATCATCTGAATACTGAAAGATGCTATCCTTGCTTTTACTGTTTTCGTATAGGTGTCTTCCCTTTATTTACTACTAATGCATTTTAATCAGCTTGCCAGTTTTAACATAATCTTTTCTAAGAATGCTCGATAATGAAAAAGGATAAAAAGGTGGAGAGAAAAAAAAGAAACAGTAATAACATGAAGAAAAAGCTGAGTAGTTGGCTGAGCTGAGGGGAATATCAGAAACATCTGTAGGGGAAGAAGGACAAATTAAGCTCAAGTGGCTAAAGATTTTAGCCTTTTAAACCAGTTTTCATAATGAGGAGGGAGATAGAAATCAGGGAGTTCTATTTTTACAGCCTGTTTAAAAAAACGTAATAACATAAAATGGTGGCCAAAGATCTGGGTTCATTGTCATGAGATGAAGAGAAAGGGAATTTAGGAGAGTGATGAAGGAAAGATTTCTGGGAGTAGCTCTTCCGTCGGAGGCTGCCAGGGCAAAGGCTTGCAGGGCCATTGAATCGTGCTCCAAACTGCTTCTGCTTCCCCGCTGACGTGCCACAGTGGAAACGGAGCAGAGGGAAAGCCTTCGCTCGCCTGCTTCATGCCACTGCTTACGACTTAGGCATAGGTGCGCCGCCACAAGTGTAGTATGTAAATGCCTTCGGCTGCATCATGATTTCAAGGCTACTTAAATTTCTCACCACATTGAAATGCACAGATATGGCTAGATTTTCACAAAAACCGATACGCTAGCCAAGGCAAAATTTATACTGAATTAATAAATAGAGCCAATATTTTACCGTGCATTCTTGAATTCTCCCCATCTCCAGCTGCCAGAGGCATTAAATGGCTTGTAGGCTAACATTAATATGAAAGATTTGGGAAAGTATGAGACGTATGGCTAACTTTAATTGCTATCAGATTTAATTTTTAAAAATATAACTTGCTGGTGTTGGAAA